GATAGATAGATAGATAGATAGATAGATAGATAGATAGATAGATAGATAGATAGATAGAAAGTGTGTACTGGCTTTAAGGAGAAAGTCACTTGTCAGTTAGAGTTTGCCATCCCAGGACAAATTACAGGCAGACAGCCCTTCTCTCTGCCCTGGCCGAAGAAAAAAAGGAGCATCTTAACCAGAGGCTCCACTTCCAGCTGTTTCCAGCAATCGGTCCCTTGGGATGTCTTGAAGCGTCCCGGTCGTTTCTTGGAGAAGTTGTTTGTCTTATCCTCCCCTCACCACCACCACCCCGTCGCAGCGGGGAGCTTCTCCGGCCGCGACAGTGGCTCGCAGCTAATGGAAAGCGTAGATAACCGCCCCATTGCCTCCAAACTACACTCGCTGGCTGTAGTCGCACGTAAGAATAATAACATACCTAATGGCCTCGGCGGCCCCGGGCAAAAAACAAACCTCACACAGCAGGGCCAGAGCGACATAGACGTACAAGTGCTAGGCGGAATATAGGCGCGCTCCCTCTCCAAGGAGCTGGACAAGGGGGCACGAACGCCAAAAAAGGCAGCGCGCCACAACGGCGCGCCAACCTCATGTGTGTAACATAGCTGCACGCCACGCGGGCTCCTACGCGGCCCACGTGCTCCTAACGCTGCCCCCCCCCCCCCAATACAAACCAATCCTGTACGGTTGGCTTTGTCGCCCAGCCCGGCTGCTTCTGCTGCTCGTCCTGCTCCCTCGCCTCCGTCTGTTCCAAAGACAAGAAGCCTGGGTTATCGAGGCGGCGCAGACGGCCAGAGAGGGGGAAAAAAGACACCCGCCGTTTCTTTCTAGGATGGCTGAGAAACCGGTATTTCTTTGCCAAGGAAGAGAGGCTAAAGAAGAGAGGAGGAGCGCGAAAGCGAAGAAGGAAAGAGGAAGAAAGCCGCCGCCAGGCAATAAATAAACAGATCGGTCTTCTCCGCTCTTCAGCTTCTGTTTGGTTTTCTAATTGGTGTCGAGCGGCGCTCGAGGGAATTGGGTCTGAGGCAGGACGCCGCTCCAGCCCCGCACGGAGGATTTAATTGTTTGCCTCCCCCCCACCTCTCTTAACTAGAAGGAATCAAACGGGGGGGGGAGGAGTGAGGGGAAGAAGTAGACCCGACTCGCAGCTGAACCTGCAAGCTTAGAATTAGAAGCTGTAATTAGCAGGTTGCCCTCGCTTGTGGAGGGGCGGGGGGGAGATCGTTCTCTTTTCCGAGCCCTCCAGGAGCTACGGGCGAGAACACGTAGAGAAAGGGGAACACCAAAATTGCTCGTGCTTAAGGGTCCGTCTCTAAGCGGTCGACCGTCTGAAACGAAAGACAGCCAAGCGAGCCTGCGAGCGAAGTGCAGTAACAATTTTCGCCCGCGAGAAGCGGCGGCGAACTGCAGCTGTGGCACGCGGGCCATTTTTTTTTATAAAAAGGACAGCCTCCTTCTAAGAAGGGGCGGAGCCGACGGTGGACGCGCCCCTTTCCACAGAGCACCCCTTGCTTTTCAAGTTGAAAGCCACTTTCTGGAAGTTCCTTGTTCTTCTGCTCCTCCAAGTTCCCGTTAGAAAATATCATCTCTTCCCCGCCGTCGGGAGGAAGAGCGACGAAAGTCTGTACCTTTAGGGAAATTAAAGAGAGAGAGAGAGGTTGTTAACCGCTAATACACCGTCGCACTCAGCGTGCGGAAACTTTGCATTTGTGAGTGGAAGGAGGAGGAGGAAGAAGAAAAGTCGCATCCACGAACTGGACAAAGTCAACGGAAGGGGTGGAAAGGGCTTAGAAAAGCCCAGAGCTCATTGAGCAAAGGCGGCTTTGGGGAGCGCGATGCGGAACGTTGCAATCGAGCAAGACCCTCAGCTTGGCAGCTAAAAGAAACCAAGAAGTTGGGTTTTTTTAAATGGAATACAGGAAAAGACGCCCAGGAGGACTCGTCCTTGAGTTGAATTAATTTCAACACCGGTATTGTGCCAGCAAAAAGAAGAGAGAGGAGAAATTTTTTAAAAAAAGCAGCTTATAGGCAAGAAACTGAGAATTTACCTTTCGCCCCAGCTGTTGCATTTCTCCCCCAACCCCGCACTCACACCCTACCCCCTCCTCGCTTGGGTTGTTTGTTCCAGGGGTTGCAACCAGAGACTTATTAGCTAAACGCTCCCCTTCCTTTCGCTGTCTCTGTCTCTTTCGAGTTGGCCCCCAGTTGGCAGGCAGTTTGGGAAGCCGAAGCTTTCGAGGGAGCACTTGACGTTTCGTTCTGCACAAACGCAATTGGAAAGGTCGGGGCATCGCCGAAGGGCAGAATCGCCGAAGTTTCTCTGGATTTGTTTCGCCGCCGCTGGGATCGCCTCTTCTTCCTAGAGACTTTTTCTTTTATTCGGTTAAGAACGCCACCCTTCATTTGTTCTCCCTCCGTGTATCTGGGCGTGAGTGAGCGGGACTGTGTTTATTTTCTTCTCGGAGCTTGGGAAGAAGAGGACGGGGCAACGAGACCCCTGGCTTGCCTGCTTCCCCCCCCCCCACACACACATACACGCAAACACACCTTTCTTCCCCCACATCCCCGCAACTCCGGGTCTGGGGAGGGAGGCTGTTTCACTCGGTTCCGATTGCCTTTGTGCGCGGAGGAGAGCGCAAGCTTCCTGGGAAGCAGATTGGCTGACTCGAGTTCGCCAGCCGGGCTGAGACGCCTCCGTGGCTGGCCCCGGCTCTTCTCCGGGGCTCCATCCTTTCCTCTGCTTCGAGGCCGCGGAAAGGGGGGGTACCAACAACCGGGATTTTTACACTCCTCGCCTTTATTTTTAAACGGATCCACCATCTGAGGCTGCTGGGTTGCCTTTGGCTCTGGCTTCTATTCTTCGCTGGCTATGAATGTTCTGCCTTGAAGATGGAGACTCTGTGGCTTTTATTCCTGTCGCTGGTCCCGGTGTACATCAGGGGACAAGGGGTCTATGGTAAGAGGCATGGCAGTTTTAGTCTTCGGGGGGAAATAAAAGGATGAGATTTGCGGGGGGAGGGGGGAAGGAGTGATTGGAGAGCTGGGCTGAATAATCAGATCAAAGTTTTGGGGGTGTTTGTTTTCGGAAAGCACCTGCAGAGGAAGAAAGTAAACGACGGTGGGTAGAATCAAGGATGGGAAGTTCCCGACGCAACCCCATCCAGCTACTTTGTAATAATCTCTCGCCGCGGTGACTTTGCTGCCGTTCCTCTCCTCTAACCCCGACCCTCCTATGATTTAGGAGACCGGAGATGTTATGCTTTAAAAAAAAAAAACCTTGGAAAGCCTCCGTCTGAGCGGCACGAGGGAATAAAGCGGGGGGACGGGGACATTTCTGAGCTGCGAGATTCCGTTCGGTGGAAACAAACCAACTTGTTGTTCCTAAACAGAAAAGGCGCCCTTTAAGAGCCGGTGGGCCATCCGTGCGTCTCTAGCCTCTGCTGGGAAGACAAAGCTGGCCGGTCCATCCATCCCTTCCTCCCTCCCTCTTTCTTTCCTTCCTTCCCTATGTTGGTCCCTTTTTTTGGATCGCCCATTCCCGTTACTAAAACGACCCGTTAACCCTTTCCCCTCTTCCTCCTTTGCCAATATGGGTTTACTTGTCGACACGCGTTTCGTTTCAAAAGAGGGTTGCTACGCCTGAGGAGCTTAGAGGGGGCAAACCGGTCCCCCCCCCTTCAGCTCTTAAGATACTTTCCGATCTTGGGGTGGGGGAGGAGAAGAAAGAGTCCGACTATGCCTGGAAGAAGGACTCGCTCCCTTTCTGCCGCGAGGCGACGGGAGGTGTGATTCGCGGGGGGGGGGACGGGACGGGGACGCGAGCAAGGCGTCCCGCTCCAGTCGTCACTGAGCTCTGGAGAATTTAAAATGAAGCGGGACGGAGGGAGCTCCGCAAAACAGTACAGCGCATGCACGGGCACTTGCTGCTGGGATCTCTGCCCCCCCGCCCCTTTTGCTACTCCCGGGAGTGGAGAGAGGAGCTTGGGGAGCGACGGGAAAAACTGAAGGCTGGCGCTAGACAGGAGCGGGCGCGGTGGAGCATTCCCGCCTGCAGACCGAGCGTTATGGTTGGAGCGATGATTGGAACGAAAGATTAAAAAGGCAATAAGGAATCTTTAGTACGGTGGTTCTCGTTGATCACGCTGTCCCGTCCCCGTCCCCCCCTCACTTTTTCTGCCACTGTTTTAAAAGATCCCCTTTTATCGAGGGGAAGGAGATCCGTTTCCACAGATTTAGTGAACAGGTTGGTATCCCGTTTGCAAAAGGATGCTCGTTCACACACAGGAACAGCTAACTTGGCAGAAACAGCTGACATACTTGTCAGGGGTACCCCTAGAAGAAACACAAGATGATTTATCCCTTGGCAGCATAAAGGCAACGCAGTGTGACAGATGCCAAGAATGGACTAGAGCAGTGTCACTATTCAGCCCCTGTTTTTGCATAGGGCGAAGACTTCAGCTTCCTAAGGCATAACAACACCTTGCTCTTTTGCACAACAGCCTTGTTTATCCATAGCTGTGAAATCAAGTTCTCCAAACTCCTCTTCCTCTCCATCCCTGCAGGTAGAAAAGTTAAGGCTCCTAACCTAAGCCTTATCTAGAACTTAATGGGGATCAACCCTCAGTTCAGCTGGTTTTCCAATGGGTAACCTTTCCATTAAGATTCTAGTCCCTGCAATAGAGCTAAAGCCTTTGTGGTCATTTTAATGATGCAGAAAAGGAAAATAAAAATAAAAGGGAATGAATTATTCTCTCCATTTACTTGGGCTACAATTGTCAATTTCGGTTATTTGCTTTCAATATTGTTTTGTTTTGTCTCTTATTCCATCCCCCAAAGCCTGATAAGAAAAAGGAAGTATAGGGGGGAAAGATTAAAAACCTAGAGGGAAATTACAAGGCATGCCCCAGAGAAGTGAGATGGGGTATGTAATGTCTTGGTTGCAAAAGAAATGTTGTGTGTGCAGGTTTTCACATCCCCATGGGTATTTTATATGCTTCCAGCCAAACTTTTTATTTTTAATTAGCTTGACTGTTGCAGTCCATGCAGAACTAGTGGTCTGGTTTTCTATTCTCAGGCCTCTTCAGGGTCTTTTAAGGCTGCCAATCTTCATACTTGACTGTATTCTTTCAGCTTATTTCTGACTCTTACTTCTTAATGAACTTAGCCCCCTCTCCTCTTTCTTTTATTTCTAGACTTTTGTTTTTGCATTTCTTCCTATCTGTAGATGTTTAGCATAACAACTCTGGTATATTTCAGACAGAAAAAAAGGAGGACAGAATGTGCAGAAAAATCAAACAGAAAAAGATGCAATAAGTTTATTATTTAATCAACAGAGATTCTTTGCTCCTTCAATTGTCTTCTCTATTTCTCTTTCAATGACTTATGTAGAGAATAACCATTTTAATTTGCAACTATATCTGTAATTGTGGTTTAGATGATTGGAATCAGTATTCCACAAACTTTCCATGGTCACCCATCTGCAGTTCCTTCTTTTTCCAAAGCAGTTTTTAGCCCTGCTAATTATTTTAGTTTCTGAAGAGGGAGCTATTAATGTTTTGTGCAATGTTGAACTACAGCTTTTTGCTCTGGAAGAAAAATCTAATCAAGAATTGCAGAGTCCTTGCCCTTTCCTACTCCCTCCATTAAATTTGAGCTTTAGCTGTAGTTTTCAGCTGAATGTGATATGAGAGTTTGATGTTCTTAGTGGGTGACCCTTGTGACCCTGGAAATTTTGTGAACTGTTATGCATCAGCATATTCTCCCACCTAGGCATTACATTTTATACCATAATGGTTATCAAGAAGGCTAAGAAAGGGTCCTTGTACACCTTGTCATGAAAGTTGTAAATATAATCTAATGTCAGATTAAATCACACTAAACTAGAGGATTTGCCTATTGTGGACTTTTATAAAAGGCGGCTACCACGTTTAATCAGAATGGATGGAACAAATTAGATTTGTGCTAAGAGAAGCACTTGGACCACAGGCTGAGAAGAACCTGAAAAAGCTAGCTATATAAACTGATCTCTGACATGATGACCGAACAAGGTCTGATTCTTTTAATAATCTTCCTTTCCTTTGTTAGACGATTCCATCCATCCATCCATCTTTACCAAAAGGCCAAACATAAACTGGCTACCAAATAATTTTCACACATACCCCTTCCCTAACTGCTAAATGCACTACAGCTGTGAAAGAGAACCTGTCTCTGACTATTCTTGTCTTCCATGACCAAGTTCACACGTGCATATGAAGTAGCTCATCACTCATGTTAACAGATCTCTTGCGTAATTTCATTCCTATTCTTTTTTTCAGCATGGACTGCTTCATACTCTGTGGAGGTCACAGAATGCTGTTTTATGTGCAAAGAAGGTTACCACTGTAACCCTGAAGAAAAGTTAAACAAAATCCCTTCTCCACTACAAAACAAACTGTTCTGCCTGAATGACTTGCCATCTAATAGGGCTCCCATAGGAAGAGATTTAAAGTGGCAAATAAATCAGGGCTGGCTCTTCTATTGAACAGTGTGTTGCAGTTTTGCTAGGCGCCTGGATTTGGGTATTGTGAATGAGCAATAAATCTAATGTATCTTTTACTGTGTTTTTACTCTCAGGAAAGGAAGCCCTGTTTGGCTTACTTGCCCCCAAAACGTGGGCTGACCTTAGGTATTCCACAACTTAATTGCAGTGGGCACCATTTGTTATTCTGCAGTAGGCCGCAAGATTTTGTCAGCTCGCCCTGGCGGGTTACAGTTTTGATAAAAATGACTCCTGGGAGAGAAACAAATGAGTAAAAAAAAACCATTTTAAAATGTTTTTAAAGGCTGAGATTGGCTCAGAGCTCTGTGATTCTGGGTGGACTGGAGAGCTACACTTCTTGATCAGGAGGTGTCTGAATTGTACTGGATGTTTATGCCAGTAATGGTTATCTGCCAAAACTAGATTGTATTGTGTTAGCGAAACAATACATTAATGTCAACTCTAATTATTTATTAGAACAGTGGGAATTATCTTTGGAAACTTCCCTCGTATTACACTTGTCCATATGCATAAAGCAATAGATTGTTGAACCGTGGAAAATATCTCTGTAGCAAAATATCCTAAGCATCAGCTGAATTATATGTACATATATTTTTTTTAATAAACAAGGAAATTAAAATACCTATTTAAATTTAAACATGGGTTGAAATAGGTATTGGAGATAAATGGAAAGAAAGGGGATTTTGGACAAAGGAAATATTCGATCAAGATTGCAGATATATTTTATCTTGGAATTAATATGAAGTATATATGTATATAGGAGGGGAGAAATGGTATTTTAAAGCTCACGGAATAAATCGTGAGGAGAGGATTGTTCTATTTGGAATTATAGAGGCTGGACTGCTGTTTTATTTACCTCACAAGGAGGATTTAACAAGCTTTGATGTTTTGGTGCTTTATTGCTAACATGGATCTGCTGACAGCTCAACTTTCTCTTAGTGCACTGAGGAAAAGGCTCAGCGGCTGGCAGTTCCCCATCATTGTCCTCATGCAAAAGGGAAATCTTCAAGGAAACTTCCAGGGGAAAAAAGAAGAAGCAGCCGAAGGGAGGAGCTTCAAAGGAACACATTTGGCTGCCTTATTCGTGAACAGTCAAACAGAAATCTTACAGGGGAAGCTGTAGTTATCGTAGACTTTGGAAAGCAGACAGAATATGCACAGCAGGAGCTATTTTTCACTGATGACAAGAGAGAGAAAAGAGCGGGAAAAATTGGGCTTAGTGAATGAATCCCCACTTTCTAAGATTATGGAGTTGGTACTGTATTTTTGAACTTGGCAAGGTGTATCGTGAAAGACTCTTATTTTAATGTCCTGGGAGAAAGTTTGAGGAGAGACTGTTGCTTTCTTTTTAACCACAGTGGGTTATCATGCCATTCTACTGAAGAGTCCTCTGTTCCTTCAAGTTTTATCTTCGCACT